AATTTGCGTGTTGTCGCAATACGGTAACAAAATTTTTATGTATACATCGCATAACTTCAATGTTTCTACCAAAATGGGATAGACATATTATTAAGTTAGTAACGTTTTACTGAGCCTATTAAGACCTAAGCCAGTCCAACATCCCACTAGGCGCTGCAAACGAACGTTTAACAACGTATGTAAGTGCAGTTCATAAAATTATCAATGCTTTTAGCCAGGACTCTCCCGCCGCCATACGACTGACAAAAGGAAACGGGCGATAAAATCGATTCATCGGCGAAAAAAATTAGCGCATTACTTGGTTCTCGATAAGTTATCGCTTTGATTCACTTCTTAGTGCAATATAAAATGATACGTTTTGAAAAAGTCCCTTCGATATGTTCAAATCAACATAAAAGTATTGATTCAACTTGGGATGTCTAGTCAATGCAGAAATGTAAATAGGACCCTATTTACGTTCTACCTTTTAGGTACGGAACCCTAAAAAGGGAATTGTTAAAGGTTCCCGGTTTCGATTCCAAAAATAAATGTTTTATGGTCTACGAATAATAATTTTCATTCGACCGATGCCGTACCATACTTCGAATAACTGTATTATTTTGTGTTTTTGAAAACCATTGCCCTTTGTTGTAAGCACGTTCGACGTGCATACATTTCACGCGGACAAACACCCAGATTTGAAACAATTGTTTTGATGACTCCGTGAGGCAATTGCCACTGTATCGGCTTTGGCGTCGGGGGTCGTGGGTTTGATCCCCACACGGGACAACTATTTGTGTGACACACCGATAGTTGTTTCGCATCTGGGTGTTTGTCCACGTGAAATTTATGTTTGTAAAACGTGCTTACAACAGAGGATAATGCTCCTGAAGTAAGGGCTGTGTTTAAAAAAAAATTGTCTGTAGTGTCAGATAGTTGTCTCGTGTGATAGCCGAACCCACGACAGCCAACTGCGGCACTTAGTCATCAGCGTCGTAATGTCGAACAAATGGGAATGCCAGTTATGAAATCACCGTGCTAGGGTGCCGATGACGTGCTTAAGTTGGCAACAGCGATGACCTTGAACTTTACGTCAGCGAGGTTTCAGTGGGACTTGGTGTCGGCCTACCGGCAGAGCGTTACGAATCTGACCGGACCAGACATAGTGCCTTCGTGATTGGAACACATAACACGTTCCTACAAATCTGGTAGGCGGTTCCGCGGAATCGTCGATTGTTCACGGTCCGTGCATGCGGTCTGGTTCCCACGCTGCGTGGTCGCCGCGTTGCCAACGAGCCCACTGGTGGGTTATTACTGTAGGGATGGACGGCTAAGTGCGGGAATTGCGCGCGGAAAATCCTAATCAGCTTCAGATACAGGCTAAGGTAAGCTAAGCTCCCGAAGTTATGTGCTATCCCTCATCAAGATTCTAAGAAGGCAGATCGCCAGAGTGTACGATTAACCGCTAACTTTTATCTTCACAGTGTAGATAGTAAATAAATAAATAAATATTTGAAGACATATCAAAACGACTACCTAGTCCCAAAATAAGCAAGACTTGTACTGTGGGTCCTAGGTAACTGATGAACTTACTTCTTTGTGAATAAATACATATATAGATATGTAAACCCGCAGACACTAGAAAACATAGTGTTAATATCACAATATTTTTCCAGTAGTGGAGATCGAAGCCACACCCCCTGGCACAGCAGACGGTCAGTATCCACTACGCCAATCGGGTCGTAATGGCCGTAATGGAAATATGTCTAGTCTAGTATCGCAGTGCTTCAAAAGTCAGTATGTATGATATATCGAGATTGATTCACCACTTGTCAGTCACAACCATTGATCTGATTGGGGTAAAGAGAAAGCCTGTCTCATCATCGCTTACGAAGCCACTTTCAAGAATTCAAACTCTGTGTTTCCAATAAGCCAAAGGCGCCGCTCCGTTTCGGCCATAATAACATATTCATGCGCGAAGAACGCTCAAATTATACGTTTAATTGATGTATGCCGCTCCCGTTTAAACGGGACGGTAACGAGCGACCGTTAAATATTCACGATTGGTTCAAACACGGGCTTTTTGATTAGACAGCGTGTTACAATCGTTGCGTGTTAATTAAGACCGTTTCAGCGTGTTCGGCTTCTTAGACGTGCTAACTACAAAGGCGTTAAAGAAGCTTCATTATTCGCCTTAGAAATTGTTTGTTCCGACGTAGGTGTACTCTGAAAAAACGAAGAACGATAAAACTTTTCGTCGCTTCGTTCGAATGTAACACCGAAACGTTGCGAATTCGGTTAAATATCTCGTCATATCTTTTGTCGTTTTTCGGTGTTAACGTTAGTTAATAACTAATATCGTTGTTTTTTTTTTTCAACAGTAGAATAATAATTGCTGATAAAGCCGAAATAAGACGGTTTGATTTACTTTCGTGAAATACGAAAACTCTTCTGCTAATTAATAGGAATATTAAGACCCTGACGGCAATCGAACACAAAATGATATGAACATTTCTCCTTCACCAGTCCTTCCTACATCTTTTGAATTGAAAGAGTGATTCAAGATTTTCACGCTTCGTTCCCAATACGACCGAAATAGACCCCCTTTTTGCCGCCTCTAATACTGTGTTAATTGCAAAAGTGATTACGAATATCGGCCGATGATATTAATATAACCGTGCTGCTAATATATCGCGCTTGTAACGGATTTTAGCTTTGCTTTGGAGTCGCTTTTCGCGATAACGCGTCGACTAAAAGGCGGCATTGTTTGACCTGTTATAAGTAGACGCTAAACGAAGATTGACCGTCACAAAATTCTAATAGCATAAACGTTTTACTAAGTAAAAAGTAAAATAACTTCAAAGACAGCGATAAACGTTTTTAAGTACCTAACAAGAATAAATAAAAGATGTAATCTTAGATGTTAAACGCACTAGCTCAGTAACAGCCTATTTAGTCTGGGTTACAGGGCGTGCAAAAAATATGTACACCTGTGCGGTTGCGAAGCCAGTGCAATAATGTTGAGCTAGTTAAACGGTGCAGTCTGGAACAAGGCGTAAGCAAACTTACCGTGTTATTGCGAGACATCGACGTCGAGCATGCAAGGAAACGGGCGTGCAGTCTTAGCACCATTAGCAAATTCCTGGGGGACTAGGGGACCATGCGAATGCTAGGACAATGTTTGCGCGCGGGAGCGCCGTCCGTCCCCCCCGGGGCTGGCGTTGCAAATATTGGCAGTCTATTACGTGCTACATCTAGTGACTGTTCATTGGAGCGTCTGTTTGTCCGTCGCCGCAAAGTTCAAGCTATGCCGCGGGTTTTTCCGAAAGGCGCCTGTGTTTTTGGTCACGCGCGCTGACGCAAAGAAGACTACGGATGGCTACACGTTCTCGGATGAATTCTGAACTGATTAATGCTGCTAATTAGCCTCACGTGCCGCCTAGAGATAGGGATCACGGTACGGTCTATCACTAGAGGAATTCATATAATTAATTAGGCGACCACCTAGAGACACTAATGATACCGAATACGTCACGGAATCGTTTTAGGCGCTCGTTACGGGCGGAATGCCGCGCGGCCCGCGCCGGCAACAATTCAACTATTTCCGCCTCCCGTTAGACGGGAAAACGACTTTGCGTCGAGATATTTACATTTCAATGCGGGCCCGATATAAAATCCCGGTCTCGGTGCTCCATTTGCAAATTTATCTAGCACCGAAAGGGGGCGCGGCGCCACTAAAAAAGTTTTTGTCGCGACTGTGCCGTTCCGCATCCGGGTTTCTTCGTAAATCGCCAAGCCGAACTGATCTCCATAATTCGCGAGTGCAATGGGGTTCCGTACATCCCTTTCGGCCCCCACCCACTCTCAGGAAGCGTTTGGAGGTCGCGTACATGAGTTATTGCGGAACGAGGAAATGGAATTGTGTTCGCTCGTCGATGATTCCTTAGCGATAATGCAACAGAAAGACCTTTTAGCGTTTGTGCGTCAATCAGTCCGCTTTCCGGGTGATTTTTCGAACGTTTTGGCACTAGTTAGATAAATCTACGATTACGAAGGTTATTTTTCATTTCTTCCAAAAATGTAACAACACGCGGAGGTGACAGCCCAACTAAGGTTTATCTACACCACGTTAACTATGATAGAACCTGGTTTCAAACTCTTGTGTTATACGAAAACCGTCGGCATTTCCGAGTTCCCTACACGGCACTGCATAGTTTTCCACCCCGGGATCCGTTTCCGCCGCACGTTTGCACAGCATCTGTAGCCAAACTTATTGATTGGAAGCACGGCGCGACGCCTGCCCCGACCGGTACTAGACACTCGAGTGGAATTCGACACAGACGTCCCCGGGGTGTTAAGATTTGCAGCTAGCGAGTGAAGGAACCGAATTTTCCCAAGCTCAAGTACCTATTTGACTTTGATTTTGTCTACCGAGTTCCAAGTGTTCGTTGTTCGATATCCACAATGCTTGTAATGATTAGCCGATACGTTATTTCACACTCTAGCTTTACATTAAGCAACTTTTGTGATAATTCTTGGTGTCAGCCAACTTTTAAAGAGTTCAAATTTTTCTAAGCCTAGAATTAGAAGCCTATCATGAGAATTTTTTGAGCAACATCATTGGCAGAAATCTAATAATGATTTGATTGATTTCATGCAGCAGTTATATGTCGATCTTACTTATTGTTCCAATACTTATGCAGAATATCTTTAGCCACGTTCTCTCTTTCGCCTTTCACTTGTCTCGCGACTGATATCTAATCAGCGTCGATTATAGCAGGCCGCTTATCGCTATCCACCTTGTTTACTCAAATGATTAAATGACGAGGCAAACGTTCCGAAGTCTGTACTCCCAAACAGGAATGATTACCGTTAAGTTCGCGTTAGCGTTTAGTTCGATTAGACTATGCCCGCGGCTTTGAATTCCCCCGCCGTCAAATCGGAGAGTACGTGATCGACCCCTCTTTTATCTGTAGGAGCGTTTGGTCCACGCGAGCCCATTGACTCCGTAATGCGACTCATTTCCCGTACACGAGATTTCGGAATAGGAAAAGTTCCGACGTCCACCCCTGCGAGGGAATGGAAGGAGGCCTCACGGTCGCGGGGCCCAAACTTAACGCCTTTGATCCGGCGTCGCCGAAAGTTCGAATTGAGCGAAGTTGAAAGAGCAGCGCGGCCGTCTGTTCGCGAGCCTAAAGAAGTGGCCAACTAATTCCAACTTTAATGGGAACCTCTTTAAGGGGGAGTGATTCGATTGTGAGCACTTGTTAATCAGACCGCCTTTCCAACAATGGGTCCCGGCTGGCCTCGCCTTCGCTAGAATTTAGCTGTCAATCGTCCGAAGTATGAATGGAGGTAAATGACGCGCCAGCAATAACGACCCCCGCTCGTCTAATGCCGTCATTAAAGTAATTGTTTGCGCTAGAACTCTCCCCGTCTTCTGCAACAGTAATTTTACGCGGGTTGGATTTTATGTCGTTCCAACATGGCCATCGCTGGAGTCAGCATACCAAAGTATTTACGGACTATGATTTCTTTATTACGACCCTCTCGTCCTTTTGTTAGGCGTCGCCCGAGAAGTTTCCCTATCCTGCTTCCTGCCGAATCGTTCTCAAGATAAGGTATTGAATTTTCAGCACAAGATCTCGCCCTACGCCCAACACGATACCGAATTTCTCTCTCGCGTCGAGCAGTTAAGTCGAGTGGGCTATTTCGCAAATTGACGTTTAGGCCTGCCCCGCTTGTGTCTCCGAAATTCGTTTCGAGATTAAAATGGATCCCGTTGGAATATTTTAGAGTGGCTCGAGTACTTAGAGTGGGATCTAGTTTTGCGGTTGTCTAGTTTAGCAGCTTCAGCTGGTGCACGTATGGGCAGTCTCGTCCGGAGAAGTACTACGGCCGAGAGAAGGCCGGCCTGAAGTGAAAGTGTAATAAGCGTTTTAAGATCAGCAACGTATCGACAACCTCTCAGGTGCTATGTCCGTGGGCGGTGGTTAACACTTAACACCAAGAACCGCTAGCTCAAACCACCTTCTCACATAAAAAAGATCGGGTGTTCCGCTCTGCTAACCCTGGTATAAGTGAGTGCTTTGATATTCCACCATGGGATCGCGGACGACCATCAGCCCCGTTAGAGAAAGCCAAGAGCCGCCCGGGAATTAGCCGAGTAACGCACGGAAAATTACCGTGGTCGCGTACACACCGAAGTTTTTTTCCCACGGACCCGGCGCTGTGGAAATTCTGAATTGATACGCGGCCACGTCGTCCGCTAACGATGTCGTTGATGATCGCGATGTGGAGTGTACATTTTTTTTGCTACCCGTGTGGTTATCGCTTAGTGTCTATATTTGATAATTTGAATTGTGGGGCTCTTTAACGGGTTTCATAGGATAAAATTATCGTGTATTGTAAGGACGTTTAGCAAACATGAATTTCAGGTAGACAAACACCTAGATGCGAAACAACTATCCGTGGGTCACACAACAGTTGTCCCGTTTGGGGATCGAACCGACACCGTAGCCAATATCTTGGCGCCACGTTGTCATCAAATGATGAATGAATTATTTTATTGAATGTCATAACATAACATTCAATAAAATAAACCATTCGATGAGTGACTTGGATTACAGTTACCGAGTTATTTATTGGCAAGAACATATTAAATAATGATGACTTTTCAGTATCGGTGAACAGAGAAGTAATTAATTCTAGCATCTGTTTAAGGAATAAATCAGAAAATATAACTTTTTCTTTTATATTACAGGCTTCGAGTCAATCGCATAAATCTTGCCTCAAGTTTACGTCATTTAAAACACAGACGTAACTCTGCGTTCTGTCTGCGAGTGATTGTTCATAACATAGAGAATACTGCGTTTGAGTAGTGCGGTAGGAAATACCAGTCCTATAACATAGTTATCGATTCAGTCGCAAATGCAATACTACATGACGCGTTCCCTTGAGAGCCAGTTGTCTTGAAACGGTCGAATTTATCAGTCGGAAATGCTTCCATCTAACATACATACGGATATAACGCATTGTTTTCGGTTTCGCTTACATTTAAGGCGAATTATTGGTCATTTCGTTGTTGCGCAATATTTAATCTCTCTATGCTAAGTATCCTATTGGCTATCGTAGTGTAGGACACAATACTAGATGGTGTGACAATGAAGTGTGCGGGAAGTGGTTCAGAATCGTGTTTTCACAGAATACCGGCGGTTGCCTCTATGTTAGTGCTAGCCTGTCGATATGTAGTTCTTTGTTTAGTTTGGTGAGTAAGGTCAGTCGACTCGTCAGATCTTGCACATGTCCACGGATGGCGGTTATCATTTAACATCAGGTGAACCGCCAACTTAGTGGCCACCTTCTCACATAAAAAAAAACCTTCTCGAAAGAGCGAGTGAGCTGTTAAAGGATTAGTAATGAAAGTGCTTCGTATAAAGAAGATCATTACGTTGAGTATCTTTGCGTTGATAACACTTAAGTGAGCTTAAACAGTTGCGAGAAATGGCGCATGAAATATGGACTTATTGCTATTTGCGTTTCAACTTCCACATACGAGTATCTCAGACACACGTATCTTACAGTAGCGCTAGTGGTTACAATGTTGCTTATGACGTAACAAGGAGTGTTGAATGATGTGCCTAGTTTTAAAATCAATATGGGAATTAAGACAAGATGCACTTTTCAAATCGTGGCTGAGAACGAGAGAGAGACAAAGACATTGACGGAGAAATATAAAACATAGGTAGAGCTACAGCTAAAAAAGATATTGTAAAATGTAATGACCATAACTATACTTTTGAGGTATTTGAAAATTTAACTGAGGGTGAAAATAACCAAGTTGCGACCAATTCGAACCTGGGCGCGGAGGCACTGCAGCAATTCCCTCCTTTTTTTTTTTATGTGAAAAGTTGCCAAACGAGCAGACGGTTCACCTAATGTTAAGTAAATACCGCCGCCCATGGACATCTGCTACACTCGAGGGTTCCAGATGTGTTGACAACCTTTTGGAAGTCGGGCTCCGGCCACCTCACTCTCCCGACGAAACGCGAAAGTATTATACTTCCACTTTACGCCGGTCTTCTATGAGGTCGTGGTACTTACCCGCACGAGCCTGCCCATTCGTGCAACAGCCGAGGCTGCTGCGTGGCCCTACCAACGTTAAACCGTCCCTCCTGATCGACGCGCGTCCACGGAAATAGAAATCAGTGAAATAGCGTACGATCGCTTCGTGCACCGTTAACTGCGCAGAAGCCGTCGCCTCCACAAGCGTGCTAATGCATCTAGAAAGTTCCCGACGGCGCTGGAACGTCCCACCGTCTCCGAAGCGGAGTAGCTTATACGATTGGACATCGGTGACGTGACTACGAGCTTTCACGTCATTAAACCTGACCGGCATCAAAAGCCCGACTGCCTTCGCACGAAGCTCAAGTCTTTAATGAATGTTATTAAAAAAAAGCACTACACCTAAGATTGTCGTTCGACGTTGAGATTTGACTTCTGACAGATTCCAACCGTCATGTTCTAGCAAGAACATTGTTTCGATCAATCAAGCTGTATACCTAATGTTATTATAGCGATCGTAGAAATGAAACCATGTACCTTAATGAATCGAAGCTTACATTTTTCAATATATATGAGCTAAATTTTCTTGAATAATAAATGATTTATTTAATAAAATATCAAATTAAAGTAAATGATATTAACGTTTTATAACAAATTTATAATTAATTGTAGGTATTAATTTGTACAGAAGTCTTGTGCTTTACTCCTTAGAAAAAGCTGACTTGTCTTAAAATCAATTTTGTTATTATACTCCTTTAACGTTCTTAAGATAGTTTGAAAATAATTGCAACAGTTTTGCATTTGTGTGTTTATATTACATCACGTGTGTCGGCTTCCGTCAGAAATAGTTCGCGGACACACTGACAGACTACCAGACGCCTGCACTACTTGACTAATCGCCACTAATGTTGTGCTAAATTTGTTTGTTGTTGTATTAAGACTATCACCTACGCTAATGTATTCGAGACATTGAATAATGCCAATAACCACAGAGAAAACAATAAGTTTTAAACGGACATTTGATATCTGGAAATTGCAAGAATTTCTCATCTTATATATGTAACGTACACAATGATATTATTTACAAAAATATATTCACATTCACTTATATATGTCATATAATGTAAAACGGGTCAATTTTTAAACGTCGTGTGTGTCATTTTTATTAAAGTAACCGTCTTACATTAGGTGTTTTTAGATATCACAAATAATCGTTAGAAATATGCATTTTATATATACGTTCGCGAAGAAGCAATCGCAGTTCCAACTCCGAACGTTCCCGCTCGACTTATCGTATGTGAGCGATAGTTTTCATAAATTTACATTGAATAACAAAGTAACACGTAGGAAATGTTTCTAGAAGCACTTCAGTGAGTCATGCTGCTGTTTAATTGTATATAACTACACTTAAGATATTAGCCGTCATACCTTGGGGTCATCAGAAGTCGACTCGTTTAATCGAAAGAAAAAAATGATTCAAATTCAAATCGTTAAAGACAATAACACACGTAATGTGTCTAATTCGCTTCTTTCCTCATGTCCTAATCCCGCTTACGTGTGGTCAGCACAGCATCTTTTAATTGATTTCGCTATGATTTTCACGTACAGCCGTCTGAATGACGTTGACCCTCCTGAGAACGAACGCCTAATCATCCCAAAATTACTGAACCGTGTGGGAATCGAACCCAAGACCGGCGCCGAAGCCATCGGCTTAGCAAATGCGCTATCGAGTCGTCGCCTAATGTGGCACCAACGTAATAAAATTAAGTTTTGCAACCGATCCGAATGAACTTTCACTTGACTTATTTATTGCAAATAGCATCGGCAGTGAAAATGAAATCTGGATATTTTTTAATGAACAAATACAATCAAATACACTTTTCTAGTATCACCAGATAAAAACTAAATACTCAAAGTGACATAAAATATTACATAGTTTATAGACGCTCGTCAGTTTAACCGCCATTGCATCGGAATGCAATTATATTTGACTAGCTTTTCACCCGCGGCTTCGCTCGCGTTGAAGCCCTTAAATAAATGTCTTTCAACCATTTACAACACTTTTTTTCAATTAAAAAATAGTGTCCTATGTCCTTTCTCAGGCTCTAGACTATATGTGTACCAAATTTCATTAAAATCGGTTCAGTAGTTTTGGAGTGAAAGTGAGACAGACAGACAGAGTTACTTTCGCACTTACAATGTTAGTATGGATTTGCTTCAATAATTTTCTCGTCGGTTCTTCCCTCGATGAAATGTATGAATCGGTGATAGATTATAAAGCATTAAACCACTATTAGCCAGACAAAGAATTGAAATTTATTCTCGGCCCTGATTAGACACGCTATTTACCAACCCCGAAGACCTGTGCATCACTCAAGTGGCTAGTGTCCGAGATTAGGAGCTGGAATGGCTGAATAAAGTCTAGAACGTTCGCCTCAGTCGAATTCCTCGTTATCTACGTAAAAGATTGGTCAATATGTTACAATGAAATAGCACGATCCGGTGCTCCGATAGGGCGGGCCGGAGCGTGCCAAAAGTGGGATTTATTATGCTAAAATTGGATACTGGAAAGTCGCCGATGCATTCGCAGGGAAAAAGTTTACAGACGACTCATTTTTATTTAGTAACAGCTAGTGATTGACCAATGTACTGATGGTAAGAGATGTCCATGACACATTATTATCACACCTTGTTAGATTAATATAAGATATTTTTGTACCTGGCCAAGCTATAAGAAATTTCAGCGGGTGTCACTGATTAATGGGTACATGCAAAAACACGGTACGTTTATGGCGACGTCGGATAATTAGGTACGGTTTCTTCTATCGCCTTTGCCCGACGTGAGTTATAACTTGAGTTATTTGTCTTTTATATTTGTTGTACAGTTGTTAATACACTCGAAAGAATTTTGCGAAATACATGTTATGTTTTTTTTTTATGTGAAAAGTTGCCAAACGAGCAGACGGTTCACGTGATGGTAAGTGAATACCGCCCATTGACATCTGCATGATATTAAATATATCATATATTATTGATCGATATTGGAATTATATCTGCTATCTGAGCCTCTTTAAACCCCCGATAAGATGGATCTTTTCCTGTTGCACGATTTATATTAAGAACATCTGGTGAAACGGCAATTTTTGGCTTGGGTTTATGAACAGCTGTCATTGTGAACCGTGTTTTTTTTTTGTAATGGGATCAGCCACGCCCTAACCCTAACGAGGTTGTCAGTTGTGTGTTGCCCAGGTAGCATTAAAGTCCCAAATCGTTGTACCAATCGGTGTTTCCGTTCCGATGAGACCTGCGTGCGGCGCCGCTATAAGCTTTCCGTTTTCTAAGAGGTAGGCAGCGCGTTTGCAACATTACTGATGGTGCGAACGTACATGGGAGATCAATACTTACAATCAGTTTACCTATAACAATACATCTGATGTCGTTCATACCGAACTATCAGAAAGAAAGCAAGCGCTTCTTTCACCCTTACCGGATAGAAAGAGATAGCCAATGTAATCTACTCTCTCCTTTTCTTAAACGTCCCCGGTGCCTCCACAGATGCGAATGTCCACGAGCGTCGGTTTAGATAACAAAGGGTCGAGTCGTCGCGTTTTAGACCCAACAAGTTTATGCAGTCCTATCTAGAAACGTGTTTATGTACCAAATAAATATTTTTCTTTCTCGCTTTCTTCCTTCTAAATGCGCACTAATTCGCATCTAATTCCGCGCGTACTTGCCCATCGTAAATCGGAGCCGCGTAAACATCGAAACCGAGTGCCGTGGAACGCGGGCGTCGTTACATCACTACACGCGCGGTGCCGCTTTATTAATAAACATCCACGTGTGATGGAATTGCGCGTGCGAATATAAAGGTGCGCGCACACTGCACGCTGTTCGACACCGAACGCTCCCTCGCCAATTTACTGCACGCGACGAACTTGAACCTTATTAGCTATCTAGAAATAAAGTTGCGTCGCGAATAAGGAACAAACGCACACGTTTTCGCATTAATAATTGCCCGTCGAGAGATTCGATTGGCTTTGACTTCAGTTTTGTGCTGGGAAACGTGTTCAAGTGTCCTCCGGTTCGTAAATATTGTTTGGAATTTGAAATATGTGAATTTTTATGTTCATTTTTTTGAAATGTGTTTATGTGTGTTAACGTTGTATTCGTTAGTCGCATAAAAGTGTTTAAAACAATTTGTGATGATTGGATTCTTCGCATTCCACGTTCTCCGCTTACTCGGATTTCTGAAATTTCATCGTTTTTATCGACGCTTAGTAGGCAATCGTAACTCGTCAGATCACCAAGAATGTGGTGATGCATGAAGTATTCAATTGTCATTACGTCTTAGTCATCACGAGTTATCCCGATCACAGCGGTGTCCGATTAATAATGAGAAGTAAAACTTGAAATTCTGTTGGCGTAGTGCCTAAATACCGGGTCATGGGTTGGATGCCCATCGTAATAAGTTTTCACAATTCTTATATGCAATTGTCATTTTTTGCCTGAAAATTGCTCAACGCTTTTAAGAGCAAATTCTAGAGACTTAATACGTATTTGAAAAATGTACTTACACGATAGTATACGTACCCAATCGTATGTTGAACGTAGATAAAAATCTTGAGCAGCACCAATTATTATTTGTAGGTCAAACTGAGTGTTGTAAGAGACCCCATAGCCATTTTACTGCAAATTTTAGGTACTTATTTTTATTTCTCTTTTTAAGAAAACATTACTCTTACTTTAGGATAACATTATCCTGTGTTGTAAGGACGTTTTATAAACATAAATTTCACGCGGATAAACACCCAGATGCGAAACGACTATGTGTGGGTCACACAAATAGTTGTCCCCTGTGGGGAATCGAACCCACGACCCTCGACGCCGAAGCCAATACCTTGCCAACTGCGCCACGGAGTCACCAAAAATGTATGACAAACTTATATGTTTATAATCGTTAGCAATCACCACATGACCCTTATGTTTCTGCCAGGAGACGGTCATTCCTGCAAGGAGTTTGCATAACCTTTTTGGTATCAGTACCAAAAAGGCTTATGCAAACTCCTTGGAGGAATCAAAAGATGTCCCATGAAGTGTGCAACTCTGTTTTTATTTCGATTAGCGATTATATTTACGCTAAACTTGGCCAATATGTTGGTGGCCAGTGCTATCATGGCCACGCGTGTTTGATAGCGCGTTGCGGACTCGCGTTCTGACTGGAGTATTTGGTTTGTTGACATAAACACAAGTACGCATATAGATTTTATATGAGGGGCAATCGTTCATAAGGGCTGGGGCACAGTAGTCGCTTGTGGGAATAAAGCTGTATTGAAA